GGGCCTTCAGCATGCTGGGGGGGGTTGGTGCTGGGGGAGCCGCAAGGGCGGCAGCGCGGCCGGTGGGAGGTGGAGTGACCAGAAAGCCAGCTCGGAGGAGCCCGCAGCCACCAGAGGCTGGAGGTGCCCGTTGGGCGAGTTAATTCATCCCAATAAGCAAACTGAATCAGGGGGAGGGGAGGTGTTTGTCAGCTCAAGCAGACTTTGTGATCTATTTCATGATTTAGTGCCAGACAAAATGCTGTGGTCAACAAAAAAAATCGTTGCAGATTTTTCCGTGTCCCCCTAAAGCAAGATTTCAAGTTGTTTGCAGGAGCGTAACTCTTCCTGCATATTTCAGTCTGAAGAATTTATCATGAGCAAAACCAAAGCCTTATGTGTTCTTTGGTGGATTACACTAAACTTTTAGGTCACCAAACAGATTTAATAAGGGGAGATTTTGTTGAAATATTTAATTCAGCTTTAAAGCTCTTACATTTCTTCTCTGGTTTGAGCAGTTTTAGTTTCTAGCATTAGGAATATTTGAATCATTGTGTCGTGGTTTTCCCCTCTGAAGCAGGGGATTTTGATAGTGAAGAAGAGAAACTTAGTTGGTTTGTCCTCAGGAAGGACATGCCTAATGATTAACAGGAGTTAATTTGCTGGTAATTTTGATCTGTAGCCTGCCAGCCATTCTGCATGTGCATTTCTGTGAAACACAGCACTCACAGTACTGATTGCCAGGGCAGAGTTTTGAATTACAAATATCTTTTTCTTTATGAATGAATTTCCTTAACAGGCTTCCAAGTAATAAATAATGCACTCAGATATGTCAGTGCATGTCTTTACTCTTAACGACTAGACACCAAAAGGCCTGATTTTCCCCCGGGCATGCCCAGGACTCACGTCCACAGAAGAGAGCTGACATGATGCTGTCCCTTCCACCCTCTCTGCTAGGACCCACGACTCTGGGGGTGCAGGCGTGGAACCACCTCTCATCCTGGTGACCCCGTCTTCTCCTCAATGATGCTCGGGTGAAGGATCCGTTGGACACTGGGGTTTGATCTCTGGCCGTGCCAGCTCGACTATGCATACCATGATTTAGGTGCCTCACACCACTCAAATGGCTTTACAAATGGGCCAGTTAATTCATTATTAATGTCTCCGTGGTGGTTGTTGGCATTAGTGAGTGTTGAAAACAGAAATATTCCAGATGAGAGAGGTAGCGTTAGCTCCAACTTTTGGGTGGAGAACAGCAGCAAGCCAGTGTCCTGCTCTAAAGCTCCCATTGTGTGTGTAAGCGACGTACCTTGTATCCAGACATCGCATGGGCACATCAGCTGAAATTACTGACGTTCAGTAAATGAAGTGTTAGATGTGACATTATAGATGGTACAATTGTAATTTCCAGTCATCTGCCCTTCATTGGAAATGAACAGTACAGTCAAAGTCAGTTGGATGAATTTTTACGGGTTTTTTGTTGTTTTTAAATCTCGATGTTGTTGTGATTTGCGTTAGTAACACGTGCACGTGCTTCAGATCTGGACTGCGGGAACAGGGTGGGACACTGCCTTAAAGGTCTGCAAACACATGGGATTAATTTGTGCACGAGTTGCAATGGTTACTGTAAAAGCATCGGTAAGGGGAACACCTCTGTTGACGTGAATCCTCCCGTAGTGACGGAAGCGATGCTGTGGTGGTACAGCTGGCTTGGCACAGTGAGGGAAGTAAACAGCGTTGACACGCAGAATTTTTAAATCGCTGTAACTGCAACTCCATTCTTTCAGCTTATTGCCTTTTACTTCCTTTCTGATTTTTTTGTTTTTACTTCTGCCAGTCTAAAGGCTGTGAGAGAAGCTTACAGTGTGGCAGCTGCTAATTCAGTGTGTCATCTTGATTTATTGCACATTACCAAACCCTGTTCTGAAATAGAGTTACTCAGCTTACAGCCCTAGCTGCTGAGCTTATGCATAACATCATTCCGGCACGCAGCAGTAGAATGCGGTGCTGGAGACAGGTCCGGAAAATTCACAAGGAGGGAAAGTGTATTTTCTGCTGTGCCCTAACCTCAATGACTGGAATCAGAAGCTCTGGAGCCCCATTAAATCCTTGCCTGGATTTACATCCCGTGTGGCAGGACAAGAGGGTGATGTCAAGTGAAGTCCACCCAATAGTTGGACATGTGCTGATTTTAAGGTGAATCAGGCTTGGTGCCAGGCAGGTTGAGAGCTTTCCTCTACTGAAGACAGAACTGGTTCCTCAGCTTTGGTATTCAAAGTCTTATTATCAGTTTCAATAAGTGCAGTAGCCATAGTGTTGAATATATTATAGAAAAATATTAATATAAATTAAATATGTTTGTTTCTGTTTTTCAGGAGAAGTGGATGTGGACTGGTCCATCTGTAACAAAGACTTAGAGGTAACACAATCAAACTGTTCCATAATCCCTCATTTTTACATGTATTAACAAGCAGAGCAAGATAAATGGGACAGAGAAATCCATCTGTGGGTTTCCTGTGGAGTCCTTAGCAGAGTCCTCCCAAAGGCAGTCAAAGCCCGAGCTCCCGTGCAGTAGGAAGAGGTTCCCTGGTTGGGGCAGGCACGTGATCAGAGCGGGAGGAGGACGCCGGGAACCGGAGCGCCTCCACAGACGGTGCGAGGAGGAGCTCAGCTCCTGCTTCCCAGTCTCCTCAGGGACTGGTGGTTGTTTTGTGGCAGCTGAATCGGTTCCTACAGGCGGCAGGATGAGCCACCGGCGCTCGGTTACCCTTCCTGCGCGCCCAGGGTTGGCTCAGCTCGGGAGTTGGTGCGGGTGGGCTGGGACCCGGAGCACTCGTGCAAGGTACCGAGTGAGCGTCAGCTGTAAGGTCCAACTCCTTCTGATTTCTCTTGCCGAGGGTCGGTAAAGCTGACGTTATCAGGTCACATTGACAAACTCCCTTAAGAGAAATGGTATTTTTGTACCTCTCCCACTCTCTTGTCCAAAATTTTATTTCAGTTTTTTAAAATTGTGCTGTTTGATAAGCAAGGAAGGTTGAAGACAGGATTTTCAGTTCTGTCTGCCTATGCAGAATGTGTGTGTGAGGTCACTGGGAGAGGGAGAGTTCTTTCCCGCTTCTCTTTTTTCTTCTTTTTCCTTTTTAAATCTTTCTTTACAATTGCAAATTGCAGATTTGGTCTAGACTTGTGTAGCATTGTACTTTGTCCAAGAAGTTTCCCTTAATGTGTGCAAGGGAACGTGTAACTCGCATTTGCAATCGACGTTAATTATATTTGTATTCTGGGAAGAATTCTGGTTCGTCATCAAACAGCACAGTGAGCAAAAGCGTCCTGTCTGACCAAGGGAAAGCGAAACTTCCTAATGGCAATTTTAAACAGCAAAAAAGAATTTCCTGGAGTGGAAGTTTGAGCAAGACAATACTTTTCTTCTGGACAATGCAAGTTTCTCTGTGACAGAATTATCCAGAATTATCAAACCCGGGTCTGTGAATTGTACTCGTAAAAAGTTAGGTTTCTAACTGAACTCTACCAGCAACGACCTTTACAAATTTCCAGTTCCAACAAACACTAAACCACAGAATCGCGAATAGTAAAGGCATGTTTCTCTCCTTGTCTCCCCAGGCACAGATCTCCAACTACGCAAGGGCAAGGCACACCAGTGCGCGGTACTACACAGCCGATAAAAACGTTACCTGCAGGAATTGCGACAGACCGGGTCATCTGTCCAAGAACTGCCCCACCCCGAAGGTAAAGCAGCACCGCAGCGACTTGCCGATGCAGCCGCTGTGTGTAATGCTCCTTTGTGATGGCCGTTAAAAGCGTTGCTTCGGTAGTTTGTTATTTCATCGAAAGGTTGCTCCGGGTTGAGGGGTAGCTTGTACAAGATCAGTTTACCATACGAAATCAGCTGTCTGCTTTGTGGAGGGCGTTGCTTTTATTGTTTTTAAAAAGGAAAACATCTGTTAGTACAAACTGATCAAAAAGAGAGTTGAACACAATAACAGAAACATTTTTGTTTGTAATTGTAAAACCAGTTTTAAGATGTAAAGTGTTTGTCAAATGTATTTTCAATAAGGAAACATAACAAGTCCAAAAATCACGCTTAGTAAAGGAATGAAAGCAGATATCTGTATAAAGAACCATGATTTGAATAATGTTAAAAATTATGGCCAAGGTAAGATTGGAAATAACATTAAGCAGTTCGGATAGATGCCAAATACTCAGGAAGTTTGTCCAGGGCTTAGAGGTTCAAAAGCCAGTCACTGTACTGTGAAGAGGTGGGGGCAGTTGCATGAGAGCCGGGATTTCCCAGTCCTCACAACAAAGTCTGCAGAAGCCTCTATCCCTGAGGCTGCTGCCCCCACCGAGACTCTGGGTGACTGTGTCCCACCCCACTGAAACGTGAGCCCGGGGCACGAAGATATGCTCGCACGCTGGGAAAACTGCCTTGGAAGAGAGACAGCTATGGAATAGTTCTCCCCCACCCAGCCAGTCCCGTACACACCCGGGGCGGGGGGGAGAATTAGAAGGGCAAAAGCAAGAAAAACTCACAGGTCAAGGTAAGACAGTACAGTAAGCGAAGCAAAGCCCCGGTGCTGCCAAAGCAGGCACTCACCGCAGCAGGCAGATGCCCAGCCAGTCCCCGAGTGACAGCTACTCTGGAAAACCTCCGTCCCCGAGGTCTGTTGCTGAGCACGGTGCCGTAAGGAACAGATACCCCTTTGGCCAGTCGGTCGGCTGCCCAGCTCTGTCCCCCACCAGCCTCCTGCCCACTCCCAGCCTGCTCACTGAGGGTCAGGCTGGGAAAAAAGAGAAATCCTTAAGCAATAGCTAAATCCCAGAATCCCAGACTGGTGGGGGCTGGCAGGGCCCTCGGGAGCTCACCCAGTGCCACCCCCCTGCCCAAGCAGGCTCACCCAGAGCAGGGGGCACAGGACAGCGGCCAGGAGGGGGTTGAAGATCTCCAGAGAAGGAGACTCCACAGCCCCCCTGGGCAGCCTGGGCCAGGGCTCGGCCACCCTCACAGTCAACAAGTTCTTCCTCCCGTTCAGCTGGAACCTCTTCTGCTTCAGGTTGTGCCCACGGCCCCTTGTAAATGTTGGTGTGTTATCCAAAACACAGCCCTATAAGGCTGCTATGAAGAAAACTGTCCCCATCCCAGCCAGACTTCAGTGCAGGGGCCCATGGCACAGACCACATACACAAACCGGTCCAGCATGTTGTGTTACCTACACCACGTTCCTGTCATACAGTTCTGTTCTTCAGCTTTTAAGAAATATAATAACCAAACTAATGTTCTTACAGAGTGCCCAACACTTCTGCTCTGAGTGAAATATCCTTCCCAGTGTAATGATTATTTTTGCTGTATTCACGCAGCAAATGGCACAGGCACTAGGCATTTAACAAGTGCTTCTGACACGAGGTCCAAATCAAGGAAGTACAGGGAGTCTGTGGAGTTACAACTTCGAGCTTTATTCACACTCTTCCTTCACCGTGATGCCTTGATGAAACATAATGTCTCGGCAATGCCTACTAAGCAGTAGACATTTATTTGGGGTGGTTTCTTCTTCATTTCCTCTTTTGATTTTGTATTGGGTCGGGCTGAGATGGCGTTCATTCTGCCACGGCAGCCCCATGGTGCTGTGCTTGCTGTGGGCACGTAGAAAGGTGCTGATGACCTAGCGGTGTTTTGGCTCCTGCTGAGCAGCGTTCGCACAGCATCCAGGCTGTGCCTCCAACATTGCCCCCCACCACCAGTGGGCTGGGAGGGGGCAAGATCTTGGGAGGGGACACAGCCGGGACACCTGACCCGAACTGACCGACGGGATATTCCATACCGTGTGACGTCGGCTCAGATAGAAGAGCTAAGGGAAAAAGGAGGAAGGGGGGCGCATTCATCTTTTGTGACGCTTTGTCTTCTGGAGCAACCGCTATGCGTAGTGAAGCCCGGCTTCCCAGGAAGTGGCTGGACATTGCCTGCTGATGGGAAGGAGACAAAAAAATCTTAGTTTTCTTTTTACTACCGCACACGGCCTTTGCTTTTGCTTTTATTAAAGTGCCTTTATCTTGACCCATGAGGGTTGGGGTTTTTTCCACCTCATTTTCTCCCCACCTGTCCTGCTGCAGAGTGGAGCGATGGAGCGGCTTGGTGGCACCTGGCATCCAGCCAAGGTCAACCCATCATAGATGTTCTTTTTCTTTTCTTTAATCATTCAAAATGTTCTCACTTAATATAATTAATTTTTATTTCTCCACAGAAAGTTCCCCCTTGCTGCCTGTGTGCAGGAAGAGGTCATCTACAGAACAGTTGCCCAGCGCGTTTTTGTTTGAACTGCTATTTGCCTGGCCACTATTTCAAGGAATGCCTTGAGAGAGCCTACTGGAATAAGCACTGCAATCGCTGTGATATGAAGGGGCATTATGCCGATGTGAGTACAGTCCATGGCAAAGAACTCATTCGTTATTGGTTTTGTATCTGTCAAAAATTGAATTTACAGCCACCACAGCCTTTTCATATTTTCTTTAATTTTATATAGTGCGTATTTATATAGGCATATGAAAATATTGTAGTCAGTCATTACCTAACAGTATCACAGTTTTCATGAAGAAAGGTTCAAAGAAAACAAACGGGAGGAGCATGGTAAGCACTCAGTCTTTAGTTTAGTTTTGTCCGGTTTAGTTAGGCTGGTGCAAAATGTCTGTTGAACAGAAGGTGTAAGGAGGTTGAAGTTAGCAGACACAGTATGCTGCAAGCATGCCTGCAGGAGGTAAAGAATAACTCCCATGCTCCACGAGTTCCAGATCCATGGTTTTTTTCACTACAATCATATATTCATCAATGAAAGTATTATTAGAAGTGTAAATTAATGTCTGAGTGGGTTTGGGAGGCATTTATAACTGTGCTGTATTTTACACTCAAAGGTACTTGATGAACAAAATGGAAATGGTACACTTTACTTCTTAGGCAAATATAGGAGCATAAAAATCTTGCCTGATGTTAGCTTATAAGGAAGCGGGTCCACAACCGTACTCACATGCCTTAGCTTAGTTTCTGCCTGCTTTTCAGAAGAGTCCGCTATCATTTATGAACATGCAAGAAGAAAGATAATGGTGAAGTTAATTGTTTCTCTACTTCTGTGTCACTTACGCGCAGCCCATCACATATATACTGCAAGAGAATTTGTAAAGTAGTGGAACAGTTGCAAAATTGTGTACTATTGAGAGGAAAATACTGACAGAAACATTTAATGTCTGGAACCTACTGAAGTTCGGTCTTAATCCATGGAGAACCACACTGACGTTACCCGTCTCCACTACTGTCATTCAAAACCCAACTTTTTCTACGTAGAGCAGTGTAGCTCGTACAGGCTGGGTGCACACCCTGGTCCTGCTGCCAGTCACTGTAATTCCTTGTTCACGTTGTGTTACGCTGCCTCCACGTCACGAGGACCGGAGAGAAAAAGGTACCTTTGTGCAAATAATGATCTCCATACCGGACCTAACAAAACAGCATTTCAGAGGTGTTAGCAAGTTTGTGCCTGTATTCACAGGACAAATGGTTCCGTCAGGTGGGGGTATGGAAGTGATCCTTTCATCTTGCTAAAAGATTGGATGTTCAGTTTATTTCCCGCCAGATGCTTGGCTGCTTGTTTCAGGTTGGGCAGCAAAATGGGAGAAGGGTTTCAATTTATTTTATAGGGAGATGGAGGCCCCATAAGACACGTGCATTCTGTTACTGATTTTTACTGAGCATTCAAAGTTGTCTTGGACAAATGGATAAATTGGGCACAAAAGCAGGTATGGAAATACTCAAAATGTTGAAGTGCTGTAGGGATGCTGAAGTACATTACAGGCCATCCAGATACAGTGGATTCTCTGCACTGAAGATGAGATGGAAGGTAAGGGGATGGGCCTTCATTTGGCTGAGGCTTTTTATCTCAAAACCTTTATCATTTAAACGGTACCGTTATGGAAACACACTCTTCAGTGCGTGGTCTCCTTTCCTCAGTTCTTCTGAATGCCTTTTGAAACAAGCAGAAACCGTTTTGCTCTTGACAGCCTGCCCAAAGCTGTTTGTTACTACTGCTGGAGAAAGTGAGAAAGATGGAGAGAGGCTTTTCACCAGGGCCTGCAGTGAGAAGGCATGGGGCAGAGGTTTTAAACTAAAAGAGGGTAGGTTTAGTTTAGATGTAAAGCAGAAATGTTTCACAATGAGGATGGTGAGACACTGTGACTGTTGCCCAGAGAAACTGTGGATGCCCCATCGCTGGAAGCGTTCAAGGTCAGGTTGGACGGGGCTCTGAGCAACCTGATCCAGTGAAAGATGTCCTGGCCCACGGCAGGGGGGTTGGAGGTAAATGGTCTTTAGAAGTCCCTGCCAACCCAAGCCGTTCTGTGATTTTATGGCTGGTTCTGTACTAAGTGCCAGGAATCCTGGATGTGAGGAACGCAATATCATGCTCTGTAAGAAACCTAAAGATTTTGAACAGTAGCATTTAAAATTATTACGAACATTATGTAGCCTAAGTGAAAACTTAGATCAGTATTTTGCAATACATACGTATATATTAACAGAAGTTTTTTGGTAACAGCTCAGAGAATTCACAAACCAGCAGCTTTTGTTTCACCTCCTAAGTATGGTGTACCTCAAAGCAAGACACCACCAGTTTTTAAATTTTTGCTTATTGGATGAGTAGTTTGATGTCGAGTTTCAGTGCAGATGAACTATTTTGGCAAGAATGTTCCACCTCTGAAGGAGAATCTTACACAAAAGCATTCTCTGACATTCTTAAGGAAGCGTTGAATGCTATAGCAATTGGAAATTTGGTAGAAGAATAAAAGAGATTGGCAAAACAAGCAAGATTTTCAAGATTAATAACTGTATTTAACATTAAAGGTTTGTGGAATTACAACCAGGCAGAAGTACGTTGCAACGACGCTATTGCTTTATCAGATCAAGTGGTAATAGAAAACTACAGTTGGGAAGATCTCATATTTGTGTGCTTTTGCATCTGTGTGCAGAGCCCTTCCCAGATGGTCTATAGATGTTTGTGCTTCTCATGCAGGTACACAGGTAGCGCTGAACTGAATTTTAAAAATACAAACTAGATTAAGGTAATGACTTGGCAGTAGGTCACTGAGTTCAGTTTAGTAGGAGGTTCAGGTATGACTGTAACATGAAGGTTTCTCCTCATATTTCGTAAATACAGGCAGAGGACTTGCTGTGTCCTTTCTTGAACTTCCCGTGGCTCTTCAGGAGCAGCAGTGCAGCCTGGAGAGGAAAATAGAAGTAGTTTGGAGGCCTTTGAGTTTGGTATGATCTGCTAAAATAAAACACAGATGAAAATTAAAGTGTGATTAAACATATTTTTTATCTTTTTTTAACCTCGTATGATATTATTACAGTTTGACATGTCTCAGAAATTCAGTCCTGTACCTAGCAATTAACCTTTTATGCTATTTTTTTTTCTCAAACTAAAAGCAACTTAAACACAAAAGGGTGAAGGTAACGGGCAAGCTGTGATTACAGCAGCATAAATTCCTGCTTCATTTTCTATATGAAGATGTGGCTTAAATTTTGTTATCCGAATACACCCCTAAACGTTAGGGTTTTTGACATTGAGAAATATTTGAATCTCTCTCTAAATGTCTCCTCCCTACCTTCATTTCTTCTATTTGGCCAAAGAATGGGAGAGATCCTTGCAAGGCCTTCTCCTCCCTTGGACCAAATACAGAAGTTTTATCTGGGTAACGCTTCTACCTGGCAAAGCTTGTCCTCCATAACCTCTGTTGTTACTCAATTCTCGTATCGCAGCATCGTGGAATAGTTGAGTTTCAGTGGGAGGCTTGGCCCTGCAGGAGGGAATTCCCTTCACGTGCTTTCTGAGCATCCTTCCCAGGCAAGGGGCGCGGGGCTGGGCGTTGGACTGTGCCCACCCCCTCCCGCCGAGGATGCCCTGGTGCCGCTCCAAACGGGAGGAGCTAGGGAAGGAAAAGCAGGAGCTGGGTACAGGCTCACCACCGACAGTGGTACTTGGGATACACAGGTGGTGCCCAGCCCCCTGGGGGGCTTACTATTTCTTTTGATGTTTGAATGTTAGAAATTTAAATGTGGTCTTCCTCTTCTGGCTGTCCTTTTGCTGGTAGCTAGTGAGTACACAGTGCCGTTACTCTCAGGCACGTGAACGGCGTATTCCTGCCCCCCGTCCTGGTACGCAGTTAGCACTGTAATCTTCAGCATCTTTTCCCTGCATCTCTTGGCACCTTTTCAATTTTACACATTTTATGATGCCAGTTCTCATAAAGTAATTTTCTTTTCTGTAAAGCATTATGAGTGTCCTATTATCCCAAAATTTAAATCCTACCTAAGTTGTGTAACAAATTTAGCAAATTTCACAGCATGTATTTCTTGTGCTCGTTTAAGTCAGCCACCTTAAATCAGAAATGTTCGCCTTTGAAACTTCCAGGCAGTTCTCTCGCGCTGCTGCACGGCAGGCGCGAGGCCGCCCACGCAGCCAGTGCCGGGCCACAGAGCAGGGGCTCGGCTGCCCCGTCCTCGGGAGGAAAGATGGCGTGGCAGCACCGCAGAGCGTGAAGGGAAGGTTGCGCAGCTACGCGGCAGGGTCAGGGCGGTTATGGAAGGCAAGAAGGTATCCCTTGAAAACCCGGTGTCTGCACGCAAATGGAGAAAGCAGAAAGGATCGTAACCTCTGGCAGATGAAATGCCAAAGTGCAGAACCGAGACTAAAAAAGAATATAAGACACAGTTCGCAAGAGAATCAGAACCAATAGAAAATCTCTCTTCACATCGGAGCAAGAAGCCTGCAAGGCCAACAGATGGCCCAGACGTGAAAGGAATGCTCAGGCAAGATAAGGACATTGCTAACAACCTAAAACTGTTTTTTTGGCATCTAGTGTTTATAGTGGAAGAAACTGGGGACATTCCCATGCAGAAATCTTACTTTGTGGAGGGAATTGGCTGAGAGTTTCTCTGAAGTTGAAGAGAATGTCAGGTTTACTGCTAACCTGCGAATGCTAACCCATCACCAGCACTGGATAACGATTATCCAAAGGCCGTGGAGGAGCTGGAAGGTGAAATCGCCACATTAGTGGCAGCAGTGTGGAACCTTTTGCTTTGTGCCTGATCGGTAACTGAGTGCCAAATACAATGGCAATTCTTAAAACAGGTCCCAGGGAGAGCTGGGCAACCAGGCCTGCCAAGCAAGGTACCGGAGACTGCAATAGCAGCAGCCTGTGGGAATGGACGCGTTAATGCGATGTATGTGGGAGGATGCAAGATTGCTGTTGTAAAGGGAATCTTCTCAGAAGTCTGTGGGGTTCTTCAAAGGAGAAGGTCGACAAGCATGTGTGTAAACATGATCCAGTTGACATAGTCTACAATTTCCAAAAGGGGTTTGACAAAGTTCCT